ATAATCTAGTAACTACTTACCTATTGTATAGGAAGAAAAATGCTTTATACCTACAAAGCAAATATAATCTACCTGCAAAACAAAAATAAACTACCTATTGTATTGGAAGAAAAATGCTAGGAACCTACATGGCGGAACATAAAAATATAAATATGAGATAATATACCTCCATTAAAGGAACGAATTTGGAGGGAAGAACACAAAAATATCACCCATGAAAGGAAGAGACAAAAAAGAGAAGGATTGATAGAGGGAGTTGTTTGGAAGAAGGAAAAAATGTGGGATGAAACGGACTAAGGGTTGAGGTGATTATATGGCTATAACTAATCCTACAATTAAGGACTTAGTTAAACGACAAATAATCTCATAATTAATAAATTTTGTGTATATATAACAATTCATAAGCCTAATGGGTAAATATGGTACAAACCACAAATAAGCATACATGGAATCTTAATTATTGGACCTATTTCAACAAAGTGGACTAATTCTACTAGTGGCTCACAAAATTGGATCTATAGCTAGTTATCCCTAGATTTTAAAAGAACAAATCCAGAAACTACGTGAAATAAACCAAACTATCATGCTCGCTCCTACAAAGAAAATTTCAACATATTACTGATAATAAAAAAAATACAATAATAAAACACCTATTTTCTTCTTTCAAGGATGCAAAGGGAAAGATGGGAAAACATGTTTACCAAAAACATATGACATGGGAAAGCATTTCACACAAGTTTACCATGTTCGTATGATAATCTCCCATTTACAATGTAAAACTTTCAAGAATTTGTCAGCACATAAGAGCTCTTTTAAGAAATTGTCTTTAAAACAAAAATTAAAAACTTTTTCTCGAAAAGCAAATTATGCAGATACAAAAACGCACGGTTGCAAGAGATTTTTCAATGTGACTAGAACACGTAGTAGTATATTATGTGTCACTACACCAATAGTGGAATATATGTGCTAAAAAGTTAATAACTTCAAAAATACAATTTTTCACCCTTTATATAAAAACACCTATGTTCCTGTCACAATGAAAATTTTCTCCACAGTTGCAACCATGGAAAATTGCATTACAAAATAGTATGCCTAAACAGTCCATGGAAAATCGCTTATGGTTGCGACCTTAAACTTCTAAACTCTAGAAAAACTTGAAACTAAACGAAAAACACTTGATTGGCATAAATCCCTTTTTCCTTTCTTTTGTTTCTCACACATACTTGGCCTTCCAAAGTTCTTTTTTGCAGGCGATACACTCCCAAATTCTAAAAAACATTGAAATCAAACGAAAAACACTTACATAAATCAATTCATATCTTAGTTTGAGGATTTAAAATTTCAAAATTAATATCCATCGGTCGAAAAGAACTTATTTTTCTCTATAAGAGTGTCTTAGGTAGTTTAGCCAAAATGAGCATAGGTAAAGATTGTGTAATGGTACGGTTTATATCTTAATTCAAAATTTTCAGAAAATCAAGCCACTTGCTAGTTGTGGTACAAGGATAATGCTTACATACTCACGAGTGAGTATTCTCCTTTTAGTTTTGTCGAATGATATTTTAAGACATGTTTTATTGTTTAAAAAACTAATGCACATGTTATTACTATATTTTTTTTTTTCACTTTAAAATATAAAAAACACGTGACATTTTTTTAGTTGAATCAATTAAAAAGTGAATGCATAGTGTATTCACTATTAAGAAGTGGGTACATAAGTATTATCTGTAGTATAATATTTATTAAAGTGGAGAGTGCACTCATAGTTTCTCATGAAAGAGTCGACCCATAGCTTCATCTCTAGATGTTCAAGCTTCATCTCTACATGTTCTAATTAATTAAGGTATATTAATAGGACAAGGATTGTCTACCCTCCCACTTCCGGTGCCTTCCCGTGCCCTCCTGTTTTGTGTGGTCACGGTTAAGCTACGTCAACATTTTATATTATTTTTTTATAAAGATAATAAGACAAAAATGAATAGTAATATAAAATGTTGACGTGACTTAACCGTGATTATACAAACAGGAAGGCATATGAGGGCATCAAAAGTGGGAGAGCAAACAATCCTTGTCCATATTAATATCCTTCCTTGCTTACCTTTTTTTTATTTATTTTTTATTTTTTATTATTTTATCTTTTCTTCTTTCACCTTTATTTTATTTTTGTTGCTCTTTACTTTCACTTTGTTTATTCTAATTCCTCAACCATTGCATAAATCTCAGATCCAAAACTTCCAATGCAGTAACGTTCCATAAAATCTAAAGGCTAACTCTAATATGGGGTGGGAAACTAAAAAATAACAAAACAAATCTAAAATGAAAGTTCGAGTGTGGGTGAGCACACAACAAGTACTTTTTCTATTGTCCAGATACATGCGTTGTTCAGATCCAGTGACTAGCACATCTCCTAGATTTTGATCCAGTATGGCGCGCCCAGTATATCCATTTTTAATTCCAACAGCTCAAATCCAATTTAATCAATTTTAACGGTAAGAAAAAAAAATCCAATAGCTCAAATTCAATTTAATTAATTTTCATGGTAATAAAAAAATGCAATGGCTCAAATTTTAATTAATCCAAATTAGATCCAACACCAAAACTCCTCCAAAAATCTTATCAATTTTCACTAATCCATAAAAATTTCAATTTTCTCAACAATTGTTTTTTTTAAGGTAAGATACAAAAACTAATTCCAAAATTATAAGCCATAAAAAAAAAAAAAAAAACCAATGGAATACAAAAGTTTAACAGATTATAAATTGGTTGGGGTGGGAATTATACGTCCCTACCCCTTGAAGGAAAGAACGGGGAACCTCATACATATAGATGAATAGTTGAAAATATGGGGCTAAATTCTAGGATTTTAGCCCCTTGCGTTGGAGATAGCCTAAAAATCATATATATATATATATATATATATTGTATTTTGGTAGAATGCAAACTACTCATTTCAAAAAATTTAACATAGTTTATGAAATCAAGCTATGCTAACTTTTATATCTATCGATAATTTATTGGGGGCGGATCAGTAGCGTCACTTTTTTTACACATGTTTTTGTGAGATCCACTCTGTAATATATTTTAATGATCTGAACCGTCTCTCTTTTAGAACCTCATATATAGATCATCCTTGCAGAATATTTGACAAATCCAAAATCATACATTCACCTATAGTAAAGAAAATAGTCAAATATGATTATACAAAGAAACTCTAAACCATTAATCTAACAGTTATATGATTTTAGATTTGAGTATTTTTGGTAGACATGAGCTTTGAGGGAAGATATAAAAGATAGATGGTTCAAATCATTAAAAAAAATTACAAAGTGGTGCCCACAAAAATGTGTGTCAAAATTGTATAAAAAAGTGGTGTCACGGATCTGTCTCTTATTTAGTTAAGAGAACTCTTAAACTTGTTAACTGGAATAACAACATATTAGTATGCTCTACATTCACCTAATTAGTTCAAATAACAAGTTTGTAAGTAGCATTTGGTCTAATATCTTAGTGGATATAGATATAGTGTTAAGCAATACATACGCGTCTCAGGTTCGAAACTTCTTACTCTCTTAAGTTTTTGTAATAATTTTGAACACTCCCCTTCCCTTAGTATTAATACTTTAAAAAACAGTAGTAATCGAATTACAAAATCATCCCACATCATTTTAGCTATGATATTGATATATATATATACACACATATATATATATGTATATGTATGTATGTATGTATGTATAATTGTATCAACTAATACAGATGACCAATGTATAAAATGTCGATGATTGTTGTGACTGTGGCTACAAGGGCAGGATGATAGTTGATGCACCTGCAACACACTGTAATAATACCTCGTCTGATGCTTAAATAGGATACGGATCTTTTTGTGCAAAAGAATGGGTGGTTTGAGAAAGAACACACACACCTTTAGCTCAAGTGTGAATCGTGTGATAACGAAGGCAAACCATGTAGGACCCGATTTTCAGCTCCCACCATTACTCATGATTTTACTAATTTTCACGGCTCTGTTTCTCTTCTCCATTATTCTCAATCACATTATGGAAATAAACGATATGTATGATTACACGATAAGATCGACAAACATAAGCGAGATGTATCTATACTCGTTACATATATTAATAAACATTTCAGGATTATAACAACTACATTCCTAATTTGTTAATGTTTTACTTAAGCAAGGACTTTATTATATATATATATATATATATAAAGTGTTTCATCATACATTGATTACAAACTAATCATCCTCCTCTCTATGCAGTCTCAGTACCACATCAAGTGTAATGTACTTTTTGCCTTGGATCCAACGATTTGTCAAAGTAGAGCTCGTGGCTCACCTAAAGAATGCATATCCCTAGAAGTTCAAACTTAAGCTGAAAGCTTCAAACTTTTACTCGCTTTCCACTTAACCAACCTCTTAGAGTTAAAAAAAAATTGATTTACTCGAGAACCATGATGAAAATAAATTCTAAGCTCGATTTCCTTTGTAAATTAAAAAAATCAAGAAAGTGATTTATGCATGCCATTTTCCCCACTAACGCCTAAGGTTTGACAGCTTGAGTATAAAATGCCCCCACGCAGCAATCAACAAAAGAAAAACATTTGGTATCTCTTATATTTGTCATTCATAGTTTTGTTTTACTAGATATTTTATTCTAAACAGCCGTAATTTATAACGAAAGAATTTAAACTTGAGTGTAAAGAAGATAACACATTGCTCTAACCAACTGACTTAATCTGCATTGAGGATTCAAATTTTCACCCCAAATTATTTCGACATTCTAAGCAGAGTTGGACAAAATAACTCACCACCAACCATATACATTACAACGCATGTGGGACAATGCATGTTCAAATCCTACCTTCTAATGTACAAGGTAAAATAGACAAGTTGGTGCCACATAGCTAGCAGGCCTGGTTGTATATTCATATGACCAAGAATTTGAGGCAGAAGCATACTTATCAACTGGGACTTCAAATCTGCACTGAAAAATCTGTTGTGATCAGATGGTGAGATTTTCTTGGATGGCTTTGAATGCCCCCAGTATGTTGCCGCCGACGTCTGGAAAAGTTTCGCAGCCCGGAATAGCCTTCACCTTGCCCATTTGATCGACTTCAACCGGATATTTCAGGAGGTGAGCCTTCATTTCTGTAATCTCATCCGCAACGTATTGCCTCCAGTTCTGCTCGCTCAAGGATCGCACCCGTCTCACGCATTCAAGACTCGCCGGCTTCTTGAAACATTCTTCAAGACATCCTGTATGCTCTGCCCAAAGTGACATTCTATATCCATATATCTGCAATCATATATACAAGCAAATTATTACAATTTTTCCCCTTGTAGCGCACCATTTCCATATGTATGAATGGTGACCTCTTCGAAATTATAACGTAAGGTGATTTCCACACACCACTTTTCTCCCCCTGCCCTGTTACTTCTCGCATTTGGATTGAATAAATAAAAAAAATCAAGGGAAAGAAATAAATAGGGATGTGCAGGAGAAAAAGGTTTCGGAAATCATTTCCCAATTATTCAACAGACAGAATTGAAAATCTTGCAGTTGTATCTTCTACTTAACACCAAAATCTGGACACTCGGATAACATACTTATGTTCGAAAATTTTAATAGTGCTACATGTTGCATTTTGCCATGATTCAGAAACTTCTCTCAACCTTAAACTTTAAGGAATCAGGTAGGATAAAAAGATGCACCGGAAAACCTCTAGCAATATGGGTACAGAAAGCTTTGACAATTAAGGCTTTACCTTTCCATGTGGACTAGAGAGTTTTCTAGCCCAGGTGTGATGAGGCTGGTATGCTCCCATTGCTATTTCGGTATCCCGGGTACCTTCCAAGGATCGCTGATTGATATTTGCAGATCCTATTATAACATATTCATCATCCACAATCATTCCTTTAGAATGGACATAAATCATAAAACGCCGATTCTTCTGAGTGAGCGCCTGCATTACAGAAAACCAGCACAAGCAATTGAAATATATCGGAAAACCTAGCTTCATAAGCTAAAGGTGTGTTCAAGAAAAAATTTAGGGGACATACCAGGGGAGTATTTGCTTCTTTTTTGTTTGCAGCACAAGTTTCTTCACCATTCGGTATTTCGCGATTCCCGAGGCAAAAGAAATTCAAATAGTCTTGTGGACAATACTTGTTTTCAAGTCCAGCCTCTTTTAGAGCCTTGTAAATCATTTCGTACATCATTTGCATTGTTTTATTCTGCAGAGAAGAAAAAAACAAAGCCATGGGAAAAACAAAATTGTGCTGCATTGTTAGTGTTTTTATGGATGTTTCATCTGATTGGTAAAAAAAAATGCCTTGAAATTGTTCTCGCGTTATTACGGCCTAGAAAGCTTCATAAGGCATGCTAGAACACTAACGAGTCTCGAGCCAACGATAACTGCTCGAGTACAAGTACTTTCTTAAACAGTAATCAGATTACCTGCCAAAAGAGAATTCTTTGAATAGGAGTGCTTGAAGGAACACCTTCTGGCCACATGGGGATTACAATATATACAGAAAACCTCTCATTTGCTTTGATTTTGTTTACGATTTTAAGAGCAATTTCCATTGGTATTAAATTGTTTGCACCTGCATAAAAAGGCCTCATCACCGATGTCTCTACGAAAATAAATCACATGGAAATACAATACAAATTTAGCTTCATAAATCCCAATGCTGCATTGCTGCTACATGGTGGGAAGGGAAAAATAGAGCACCGACATGTTTATGAACCACCTATATTCATTTTTCGGGTTACTTGCTTCAAAGGTTAGAGTCCTCACCTAAATCACTGTATAAGTTCCAATTATATGATGACCCAAGGAAGTACTGGTTTTCTATGTAAATGAAATGTTGAGCCGCACGGATTGCCTTGACATATGCTGCATGTATACTCATGTCTATCAGCACATTCTTCCCACAAACCAGGTTCTGTTGCAGACATGGTGAGACATTAGTGTAAACTGTGAGATACCTTATATTAGTGCAAAGAAGTTAAGCCAAATTTCTCACCTTGCTTGTAGCATCTTTTGAGTCCTTCGGGAATCCTTTCACAGAATTGGAATCAATTGAATGGAAAACCTTCAATTGTGGGGGGGGGGGGGGGGGGGGGGGGGAGGAGAAGATTAAAAATTGACCAATTTGTTTAGAAATCATAGAAGACAAAAGATATCACATGGCTGATTGAGATCTAATATACCTGAACATCCCAAGCTTCTGGATCATCGCCACTCAGGCAAGGAACTTCCGCCATCCCAATAATTTCAGGAATTCTCTCAATCCTTAGTAGTGCATCATCATGCGGTGTTTTAATTTTTTGAAGCCCGCGGGGTTTTGAAGCTTTCAACCAACGCTCCTCAAAATTGGCAAGGATGTCATATGCTGCTGGACCATCAATTTTACTGTGCAAATCATGCCATGGCTGCCTTGGACAACCAACAGAGCGCTCCTGTTTGTGTTGCAAAGGTGAATATGGTAAAGAAGAAAAAATTCGACATAACTATACTATTTATTGAATCAAATCATCAAGGTGATCCTCTATCTTTTCATGAAAACTCGACAGGGAGCTCGTAAACTAGTAACATCAATGACTTACACACTTCTTATAGGATCACAAAAGTATGAGAACTTTTTAAGAAGAGGGCATGTAATGCACTAATACCTAATAAGTATTATTGCTCGTGTTACACAAAAAAAAAAAAAAAAAAATTGCTTATAAACTATCAATTTTTCATTGTGTGTACGTCATCTAGCAATGGATGTTAATCCAACAGAAAAATAAAAAATTAATACAATGATTACCGAGAAAGTAGGGTTACGACAGTCATCTTTGTGCACTGTCTGTAAACTCTTAAAGATTGGATGATCCGGAGTGTCATAGCGCCCCAGGCATAGATCAAGACCTCCAACAAATGCAATGATCTTTCTTTTAGAATTGCCTGCATCAGCATCCACAAGCACTGTTTTCTGATGATGGGTATAGATAGTTTCGGCTTCCTATGACCAAAGACAAGAAGTATAAAGGTTCAAAGAAGCACTCACGCAGAACATTAAGCATGAAAATACAAAGAGATAGAGACAGGCAATTATACACCTGATGATTTCTTTTGATAAGTATCCGAACAGAACACGAAAACATAAATCAAATCTGAGTTGTCCTATATATATGTCCATACAGTTTTAACATACTACAAAAGATTAGAGCTTGCCAGCCATAGAAGATATCGATTATATTTTCTCAGTTGATGATAATATCACCATGTCAAGAATAAGCAGCACTGATTCCTAGTCCTCCAAAAGATTGTGTGGGATTTACTTGATGTTCAGCCCCAAATTAGTTGAAGTGGGATAATTGTAATTGATATGCAACTTGGCATATCATAACAGAACTCTGGACTTTCCAGATTTCATTTTACGAGGTCCATTTACTAGTGTAATAAGTGAAGGAAACGCAAAATTTTAGCACCACGTATGAAAAACAAAATGACTTGAACAATGTTCACCTCTCAACTTGCAGCATAACTAAGTTGGTTATTTTATCTAACCTGCTTTTTGACCCAGCTACCCTTCCCAACAGATCGAGGGCAAAGCAGCACTTGGACTGAAGAGTGCTTGAAGAAACGCCGAGTTTCCTCATCAGAGGTTTGCATGACCCCTTCCTGCATATCATATAGTCAATCAAAATGGACAATGATGTACAAAATAAAGATTAGCCTTCTCAAGCATTTATTCAAGCTATACTTTGGTGTCAGCCGGATCAAGAGCATAGCCTTTGAATCCGGTACATGTATGAAAATCAAAATCAAAATTTAAAAAGTACAAAGGGAAATACGAGACTGCAGAAAACGGGCAATTTGTAGATGCACCTTAGAGTTACTTATAACGTTTTGGTCAATTAGCTTGGTACATCATACATAACTGCATCTGCTTTGAAGTACAACATCAGGCAAAAATCAAATGAATCTAGTAGTATTTGGTAAACCTAATCCGAGCTCTCTATCATCCTCTCCTCAGTCCCGCTCTCATCAAGATTCGAGTTCATCTTCAGCCGCCCCTACATTGTCTCTATCTTCTGTTTTTAGCATTTGCTTCAATTTCTTATACACAATTCTCAACTCAAATATTAAAACATTAAGTGAAAGATAATTTTTTTTTAAGAACAAACACAAACTTTGTTCTGTTTATGTCATTTCTTACGATGTTTGATGATTTGATCACTTTTATTTCTTGTAGAGAAATGAGGAAGTAGAACAAAGCATAACAGTTGGTATAAGTAGCAATCAGTATTCTTGGCGCCTAAGATAGAAATATTTCAGATTTGCGAAAGCATTTTTCAGAGGTTCAACAATGAGCCAATAATAACTTGTTCAATCGAAGGGAAAAACTTATAAAATCATCCTTATATGCAAGAAAAGTATAATAAATTTGATGTGAACCGAAAGAATCCCGAATTACTATATTTACTAATCTCGAAGGCCTTACCATTTTATATCCCAAAATTCTCCGGGAAGTTGGATCATCCCAAACAAGAAGCAGCACTCTCACACCTTCCTGTGATTTGGCCTTAAGAAGATCACCTAACATGTAATCCGCGGCATCATTCTTATCCCGAACCAATCTAACTCTGTGGTACACAGACCACCCTGCAATGTATATCAAGCGACGGGCCTGACTTATTGCATCGAACATGTCTTGCCAACAATTCCCTTGCTCATACTGAACACCGCCGTCAAGCTCCAAATTCGGAAGGCGACCATCATGAACATGTGCATCTTGATACAGAGTCACCTTACCGCCTCTCCTAAGAGGAAAGTAAGTGCCGGGGACGCCTTGATGATCAGGATCCGAACCTACTCCCTGATCATAAAATGTCAGTTTTTCAATTGGGATATACTGAATTGACAAGCTCAAAACGGCTCCAGGCTTACACGCTTTCCCGCTCGAATTAAGTATCGGAAATGTTCCCTCTACTTTCATGCCAGAAAGTAATTGCTCAACTGGGATTCCCACAGCACCCATGATCTGTGATCCCACAACATCACTATCTTTCACAACAAACTGCACCTCCGAAGCATAATGCGCGACCGGAACATCAAAATGCTGCCCCCAAACCGGGTTTTCGCTATTACTAATCACAAACGTCCTCCCAACCACAGCACCTGACACAGAAATTGTCACATAGGGATCACTGGTTATCTTCTGCGGCGCTTGCCCTTCGGTCTTGCTGCCAAACTTCCCTGGAAATTTAGCAAACATGTCGCCGAGAGTCCTATGAACCATGTCCATGTTAGGAAGGTTTCTGGCCTCCATTACCCATATAACTAAGTTGCCATGTAAAAGACAGACCTTGAGAGACCCCTTGGCAGTCTTGAATGGCAAAACTTGTTGGCCCTGCCCATGCTCTGAACCTCCAAACGATAGCGACGTGTACGCAGGATACGCCATATAATCAAGAGTACTTGCTCACCACTCAAAGATTTTGAACTTGATGATATCTATATCACTTACATATCAAACTAAATACTTTCGCTAAACAGGATTCGAAATAAAAAAATGGCGATAACCCAATTCAGAAAACACCCCAAAGATTCTTGTTGCTCCACCAGAAAAGAAAGAAACAGATGTTCTGGTGAAATATTGGAGTACCAGAAGGAATAGGCCAAAAAATAAGAGTAAACGTGGGGTTTAAAGGGAGGACAAAAAAAAAAAACATGGTGGGTGGGTTAGACTTAGTAAAATAAGGTGGCCTTGAAAAGATGAATATTATAAAATAGAAAGCAGCAGCAGTTGAATTTGAATGAGTGTGAAGAAGGAAGAAGACGCAAACTTTCCCATTATTTTAATTATTTGAAAAATGGAGAGTTATTGAATAATCAACACGACATTAAAAATAGGGAGAAATTATATATGATTGATTGTCTTTGGTTTTGCGTGGAAAGTTCGATCAAGTTTGGAATATTACATGAAGAAACCCCTTTGAGGTTTTAAAGTTATTCCATGGCATTACCATGCTTGATAATTGATATAATTTAATTATTATCTCAACACTCTCTCATGTTTTATCATGAGATTTTAAAAATAACACGAACACATCCTGAAATTTCAGAGAAGCATGTCATGCATGATATTGTCTAATTACTACATAATACGAGCAATATTAGAGGAGAAAAAATCGAACGCAAAATCTTATGCAAAATATTGTGTTATAACTTATGTAGTGAGCATGTGATGTCATATCTTTAAGTTTGATGCTTAATTTTCAATGGGGTTTTTAACAAAACACTTCCAGTAATGTTCACTTTTAACAAAAAGATATTTTTACTCTAAAATATCACTTATGGTACTATTCACTTACAACACATTTTTGTCATTTTAATTAAAACTCAAAATTTTCAAATCATTTTCTTTAGTTTTCCTTAACTTTTATGCGGTGAGCATGTGATGTCATATCTTTAGTAACTAGTGAGCACTAGGACACCTTTCGATGTTAATGAACTTTTATCATGCAGCTTATGAGGACCAAAGTATCCAGTGATTGCTATATGTAACAGCTTTTTGAATTTAATAAACTGCAGTGATTGTAAATCCTTCACGTATTGATCGGGCCAACTGTGTGACGTATCTCTTTGCTTATTATTGACGCAATTTGTGTACATGTCCTTATATCCTGTGACGTGATCAGTGGTTTATGAAAACACTACTAGTGTTGGATGGTCAATCCCCACACGTTTTTTACATGAGTGTAGAACTCTGCGTTAGTTTAAGGTGCCTTGTCAAAACCTTGAGTAGGTTTTTAGGCTCTTATAAACAATTTGATTGCTTTCAAGTGTGCCACTGTTGGTTAAGACCAACAGATTGATTGTTTATTAAGTATTTGTTGAGTTTGTCAGGTTGCGCCCTAAGTAAACTGAACTTCTTATCAAAAATTGTTCCATGGAGGATTAAATCCATGTTAAGTTCTTTTTATGCCTTGGTGACAAGGTGTGACAATGACTTTTATTTTCTTTTATATTGATGCTAAGAGAGAACCACAAACTGATCAAAAGTGATCTAAGTCAGTTTGCAATCTTTGTTATAAATGAAAAAACAGTAAGTAAAACGAAACAAAGTACAAGTAAAAAGGTGAAAGTAAGAAGCTGTCAAGACTTGCAAAATATTAATTAAACCATACTAAATTGCATGAAAATATAATAAATTGAAAATAAACAAATAATACAAGTGATCGAGCAAAGATTAAACCTATTAAGGCAAGTTTTACCCATAGTTAGGCATAGTTATCCACCGATCGGGTAGATCCTAGTACATGTAGAAAGTGTTTGTGAAAGAAATTTTGACACGCCCCAACCCCAATATCCCCAAATATCAGGGTAGGCACGTGCTGGTCGACATCCAAGGGTGACAAAGCCATTTTAAACACGCATATAACTAAAACATGTAATTAGATGTTCAGAGCATAAAACTCAACAAGAATAATGGGAAAGAATGATTATGGAAAGGTATGAACTGAGGAATGGGACCTACAGAAGGGAGGTATAAAACTGTGCTTAGAAATGAATACCACAGTCCGAAGGCAAATCATTTTATTTAGGAACATACTAACCCCCTGTTTTGAAATAGGAAAAACCATTTTATTTAGGAACATACTAACCCTCTGTTTTGAAAACTCATATGTATATAGGTTTTTTTGAAAACTCTACATACCATGCAAGCGTTCATAAAATCAGTACGTATAAAACCGTGCTCAGAAATGAATACCACCTTCAGAAGGCAAATCCGTTAAATACATCATACTGTACTCTTTAGGGGTATCATAGTCGCCTGAAGGCAGTACCTGCCCATCACCCGAAGGTGAAGTTGTACGACACTGGGTTTTGCCAATGAAGAAACCATGGTCCATCACCTGAAGGTGAAGCTGTACGACTCCGGGTTGCGCTGGAGAAGAGGATATATAACATCACACACCAACACTATCCCTGGCTAGTCTAGCTGGGGGTATAGCATAAATATCTCACTCTTCATTCACCCGAAGGCAGTGCCTGTCCATCACCCAAAGGTGAAACTGAACGACACTGGGTTACGCTAGTGAAGAAACTATGGTCCATCACCCGAAGGTTACGCTGGAGAAAATTTATATACATAAATCTCCTCAACTGTGTCATATGGCCATAGACATCTACATACCTGTTTTGTGTGGATATGTTGTATGATAACCCATTAGATACGTACCGAAAACATATCTCAAAATCTCATATCCAAATCTGGAGCTCAAAAGCTTAAAGCCTCAACACATAAATCCAAGATAACTCACATTCGTAAATCCATAGAATTCTTATTATGAAAATCCCATAATTCTTAACCTTCAGTAAAAACGTAAATTCAATAAATCATAAATATGCATAAAAACAATTTTAATAAATCACTTTTATAAAGCATAAATATAGAAATTCGGAAAACATAATATAAGACATATTCAATGCATGAAATATGCAATGCATGCAAACCTAATATTTTATAAAACCATGCAAGTTTAGAAAGGGTTCATTCATTGGTATTCCATTGCCCAAGAGCCGCTCGAACAAGCAAGGATGGTGTCACTTCTCACCAATGCACCTAACCATATATAGAGGCCATTTAGTAAAACTCTATTAAAATTATCGAACTTTGCAAAATGGACGACAGATTCGGATTCAGCACGTCGAAAAACCAAAAGAGGGACCTCAGGTTCCTTTACGTGCCGCCATGCGCCGAGTTGGGTCGCTGGAAAGTTCACCAAAAAAGTCATCGGCGTTACCATAGTCGTGGCACAGTACCTCCGGCAGAGGCGCATGCACTCCATATGCTGGCCTATGGCAGTGTATATACGAGCCCACGTGCGGACCTACGCTCTGACCATGGAACCTGGGCTGAGATCCGGGTCGGGTTGAATATGGGCTAGGGTTAATGGATTAGGCAAATTGTTGGGTTGGGCCTAGGGTAATGGGCCAAGGGTTTTAGGCTTGGTTTAGTATCTGGGTTGTTAGGTTGGCCGAGTTATAAGGTTTGGCTTGGCAAATGGGTTCATAGATTTGGGCCGGATAATGGTTGGGCTTAGTTAGATGGGTTGCATGGCCCAATGGTTTGGGCTGGGTTAATGGATCAGGCTTAAGGTTTGCCGTTTGCTGGTTGGGTTGACCCGGTTAAGTTCGTGGGTCGCTAGACCCAACAAAGAAGAAGGTCAGACATGGGGTTTTTGGCCGGGAAACCTCCCCGGCTTCGATTTAGGGCCAAAACTCAACCAAAATTGATGATTCAAAAGCCATATTGAAGCTTAAAACATGGAGAACAAAATCATACCAATTTGGGGCTGAGTTATTGTTGACGTTGGCCAGAAATGCCCTGCAAAACTAATGTCTTCGTCGAAAAACTGGGAAATGTTTTCTCGAGCTGGTTTCTACATAGAATTTATACAAAACTCGTATGTAAGTTTGAGATCGAGCTAGAAATTGAAAACTAAGATAAGATGACATGGTGTGGGTCTTTACTGAAGTTGGGAGTGTGAGTGTGAGGTTCATCGAGAAAAATCGTCAGAGAGTAAGCCACGATGGTGAAGGTTTGTGGTTTCTCTATTGCAATGTGCACAAAGAGAGGTGAGAGTTGAGAAGGAAGGGAGGGAACAGTGAGAGAGTAGGTTAGTAGTCTGTGTACATGTGTGAGTTGCTCGGGAAGAAGAAGAGAGTATAGGGAGAGTTGAGAGAGTTCCAAAGTTAGTAAAGAAAGGAGATGAAAAGTTATAGAGAAAGAGTTTCAGAGAGGTATCTCACAGGAGAGAATGAAACACCCCAGACATAGGGAAGATTTCGCCATATGTCAGCAAATGAGAGATCCCAAAATGCCCTTATCATTCCGAGTCCCGTAAAATCTTTGTTTTAGCTCCAAATTCAATTCCGCTTACTACCAGAATATGCTAAGGAAATGAATCTTAGGTGACATGACAAAGCAGTCAACAAAAGTCAACGCATTCGCCTTAAAAGGTATTTTCGTAATTTCACATTTTAAAATTATAAAAACCGTAATTTTTGGGGATGGGTCGTTACAAATTTTAATACAAGGAATTGATACTACAAGTAATGTAGCAAAGCTATAAAGGTACATGGTGCTTGAAGTACAAAAGAAATTTGTAAAAGTAGGCTTACAAAGCTTTGAAGTCTTTTATATGTTGAGTTGAGCGTCATTTTTTCTTCCTTTCTACTGCCTTTTATAGAACCATCTCCTATTTCTAAGGTAAGCCTTTCTCTCTCAGGTCATTCTCTTTGATCCAAGTTGCTAAGAGCAAGTCTAGCATGGTAAAACGCCAAGGGGATCGGCTGCTCTAGCAAGTCTGTCACTGACAGGATTTGCAAGAAATGAGACCCGTGCTGGACAGGCTATTTGTAGCCATTGCTAGGTGCAACATGGCACCCACTCGGCCATTGGATTTCAACGACTCTTTTTTCTGGACCGTTCGATTTTCAATGATAAAAAAAAATTTCAAAACTCCCTTAATGGCTAGATGACGTGGCACGATCTAAGCCTTTCAAATCCAGATCAATGGTCTAAGTTTTCGGCTTTAAAAATTAAAATAAAAAAAAATCTGATATGTTACCATTATGCCATGTGTCACCATCTGGAGGGTTGGATTTCAAATTTTGTATAATCCAACAGTACAAATTAATTAAGTTAATAAAAATTAAAAATATATATTAAAAATCCGAAAAAAAATTTTAAAAATTTTTAAAAATTATTTTATTTTTCTATAAGTACCT